AATACAACTCCTTAAAGTTTCCTTTAAACAAAGAATGTCCTGTGCTCGTCTAGAACACGTTATTAAACATCCATTACTAAAACTCCAAAGCAAGATATATTTGCCTCATGAAATGTAGTTGCTGTCTTTGGTCCTATTCCCCAAAATCTTTAAGAGAAAAAACATGCCAGATAATCCAGTTCTCACTTCCAATGGACAAAGGAATGATAAACAAAATGAGTAACACTCTATAAGTTTCAGAGCAAGAAGATTTTTTAAAGCACTGCAGCAAAAGAGTCCAACTGGAGGAGTTGGATTCAATAATCCTTGTGGGTTCCTTCCAACTCAGGATATTCAATGATGCTATAGTAAGCAATTCTAAGATCAGCTAGACGCTTAATTTATAAAGTCAATCACAACAATAGGACTTTGTTTCCACAGCACAGTAGGTCCTCAAATTGCAGGGGAGGACTTATTAACTCAGTACCTTTTTCTGCTGCTTTCTGCAAGGCTTCTTCAATTCTTGCCAGTTCCTTCTGTTTATTATCTTGCAGGTATTTTTCTTCCTTCTCTGCATCATATTTAATGCCTGTAAACGAAGTTGGGACAGCTTTAACCTTTTACAAATCACATTTTATAAATGCATAATCAAGCAACGCGCACAATATTGAGCATTATGTTGCAAAACGTCATTTGAAGCAAAGGCTATTCTATGTCCGAATGCTGAAACCTGTATCCAGCCTCAGAAACTGGGATTTTTACACAGTAGAATACAAAAGATTGCATCAGCGTTTAAGCATTGTTTTTCAAGAGGATGTTTCCATGAGTACTCAGACCTTCAAGTGTGATCTGTGTAATGTAACAGGTTTTAATTCACATCACATATATGTGATGCTCTACCAACTTGGAAGTTTCCTTCATACAACAGAGCATTTGATTTCAGAGAAAACAAATCAAGTTCTCTGATCCTCTTCCCTCCCCACCCCCCCAAAAAAAAAATCACTTCTAATGGAATGACTACTTTTGATTGCTTTAAGTTAAAAGCAGACAGACTATACCATGCAACAGTCAAAAGATCTAAACCATGCCAGAAGAATGGATTCCGGATAAGCATGCATCAGAGGAAACCTGTTAAACTGAACTTCAAATGGATACAACCAAAGATTTTCATGAAAGCTACCGTTTATCATCTTGGTCATGCTCCCCTCTTTAACCCACCCTTCTTCTACTTATTTGCCAGCATTCATCTAGAAATCCCTAAAGGAACTTCATCTAGAAATCTCCCTAAAGGAACAGAAAGTAAAACTGGCAGCTTATATGAAGTAATTGCTATTACACACTTGAATAAATGCGTACCCTTAGATATTTTTCTCCCCTTCATTATTAAACTGTTGTTGAGGAGTTTACTTACTTGCTCCAGGAACTATTAGAAGATACAAGCCTTCTAGTGTTGCAACAACTGCCTCACCATACAGGTTCTTCCAAGGAATCTTCAGAGTAAGTTTATCTTTATAAAACAGATAAATGTTAAGTTACATCAAATAATATACATTTTAAGTTAAGTTACACCAAATAATATCATATATATATATATAATATACATTTAAAAAAAAAATTACATCAAAATGTATGCTATGCTTAGCCTGAACAGTAACTCCAGCAATACAGGGTATTAGCCCCTTATCTTCATTCACGTCCTAAACAATTTAGAAAGTGAAGAGAAACTGGATGGGCATATAAAACCTGTGAAGTTATAAAATGCATGAAGAGAAAATAAAAGCAATCGATTTAAGTACAAAGATGGTGTTTGAGTCCAAATAGTCAAGATCAAAATCTGAAATTGTCACTGGAGTTTAATTTGCTGGGGTTAATATGATTTTCCCAGGAAAATATAAGAAGAAATACAATATATTCATCTCCAACAAACATTTCATGTGAAAAAAGCAATGTTGACCTCAAGGGAATCAATTTTTAACAACATTTAACTAAGAGTTCCTAAACTCTTGGCATGTTTGCCAGTTTTTTGGGAATCTTTCTTAATTTCTTCATATTCCATATCTTTCCTTTAAAGGATCACACACACTGAAGTTATAAGAAAAAGCTCTCTTGATCATCCGTATACCTGAAAAGAACCTCCCAGGCATGTTTTTCATACCCAGACTGTAAAGTTACACAAAGAAAGTCAGGCAGATAACTTTTTATGATTTATTTAGTGCAGCCACATTAGACATCAACACTAATTTCAACAACAAACATTATTACAGAGAGCACTGAAGAAAAAATTATAAAAGAAATTCTGAGGCAAGACTCATATTGCAGTGTTAAAACTTCAATTTTAAGATTCACGTTGAAACAAAGACTTACCTATCTGACCAACCTTTATTCTAAAAGGTACATCCAGTTCACTCTGTAAAGAAAAATAAGTATTAAATAGCTACATGAATTCTGAAGGTAACCTGATTTATATAGCAAAATTATTATCCTGACTTCTCATAAAACTATCCTCTCAAAACTGAAATTCCAGAACAGAAGCAGTTCTCTATATGATATAGCTTTAATTATTTAACAATAATAATGTGAACACAGGTATCCATAAATATGGTTAGGCCTATAGAAAGCCTAAAAACAGAGGAGTCACGTTTCTAGCAGTTCTCTCCTACAACTTTGATAATGCCTTGCTCCAAAGGTTATCTAAGAAGTAGATTTTTATTTACCTAAGAGAATATAATTATTTTTTTTTTGATTTGCCAAATAGGTGTTCTCTTTTTAATTATCAGTAAATACTAAGCATTGCACTAAGATATTTTAAAAGCTTCAACAACAAGATCTACAGAAAATTTCCAGTTGGTACCCAGCTGCTGAATTTCCTTCCCCTATTTTAGTGTAGTGTTTTCTAGATCTTCCACTTCAATATTCTTTTGAAATGAATTAAGTACAATCCAAAGCCATGAATTCTCAATCTCAAAGATTATAAAAAGTAAACCTGCCTTCTCAAATGAGACATGTCAACCGCTTCTCCTACATATGACAAAACAGCCTTAAAAACCGCTTTTCCAACATCTCAAAAGTATTAAACAAGGCTCCTCTCAAAAGAAGATTAATACCCCAGTTAACATCTCTGCCAGATTTCCAGTTTTAAAAAAACATTCTGAGCTATAATTAAGAGTCTAACAACAAACAACTTTATTTGACAAAACTAGCGACAATTCTGTGGCTTGTTCTTGTTTGGTGCTTTAAAGAAACAATTGAAAAAATACAGAGCATTCCAATCCTTTTCTGGTTATGACTACATATTCCTAGAAATATTTCCATATGCTTTATATTCTCAGTGATGACCACTCTTTTGGAACTCTTAAATATTTCTTTCTATTTTTTCCTGCAGGAGGCAAAATCTTAAAAATCTGGTTATTGTTAAAATATTAAAAAATAATAATAAAGCTTAACTGGAAGTTTTCTTGTCAGCTTTAATTTGTCATTAAAACATATCAAAAGAGTAAGCGAAAACAGACTCACTTTGAATATTTTTATCTCTACACTTGGTCTTTAGTAGTATGAACAGGTATGGAAAGAGGTTGAGAAACAAACTGTGAGAGCAAAGAAAGATCTCTGCTTTTGACAGAACCAGAAGCAGTGAAATAAATGCAGGTACCAGCTACTACATCTACCCAATTTGATACTGTACTTAGGACCCACAGATGATTTCCGAGAGGGACTAGCTCAGGTTGGCCTGCTGATACAACTGGACCATAAATTTGACCTTGAAGAATGAGTTTTCTGAAGATTAAACTCCAGAGGGAAAAAAATGAAGGAAAATGCTTGAAGTTAAAGGCATTTTAATGTTTTTTTTTGTTTGTTTATTTATTTGTTTTTTCTTTTTTTTCTTTATTTTTTTAAAGACAACTGATTTACAGACTTTAAAGACAGTAAGAGCACTGGGGTTTGATATTAAGGAAAAAAAAATGACGTGCTGAAAATACCTCAAGATTATAAACTAAGAAGCAACAGGCAAGATCAACTTTTGGTATTTTAAAAGAAATTTCACATGGAAGTATAATTATGTAGCAGCAATCACTGAGGAAAATAAATCCTTTAAGTTGTACTAGACGACTAAAATTTTAACAAAAATGCACCAATATCTTGTTTAATTTTTTTTTATCATTTCAAGCCTCAAACATTACAATGGGTTATGTATGCACATATGCACAACACATCAATTCAAACCTCTACTGCTAACTTCTCAGAACCAGTTTTCTCAGGAGCATACTAATGATTTAACCTATAGCTTTTCTTTTTTTTTTTTTTCAATAACATTAGCAAAAATAGAACCTGTTAACCAAGTACCTACTTTGAATAACCAATAAAGAAGGCATACTGTGTAAAATTAGACTATAATAAGTAGTCGCAGGACCCATTAATACCACTTTAAAATTAACGTAATACTTACTAATGCATTCTCCTTTATTTGTAAATTGTCCAGTGCTACATTACCTATGTAGAAGAAAAAAGTACAGTAAGTTATTTCAACTACTGTGCCATAGAGGTTGAAACAAGGAACAAAACTGCAACTCTCCCAAATACATGTGGATAAATTCTGAAAATCTGACTCCAGTCATAGAAGAGCATAATAAATAGCATTTTTGTATGAATTATTAAACACTGATTACACAGGCAAAACTTAATGACGGTAGAGACTACAGAAATATCACCAGCTTACATTCCAGCATGTTTCTGTAGTGCTATCTTGGTTTTGATGATTTTACACAGCAGGAAAAGCCTGCATAGTAGAACCACAAAAAGGAACCCCATCACCAGATGTTTTCAAGCTGGAATTGCAGAGGATGCTAGATAATCTCATTCGGGCTCCCTTTTCCCATGAAATGTTGGGCTTGATGATCTTTTGAGATCCCTTCCAACCCGGGCTGTTCCATTAAATGTAAGGATTCTTGCACAGCTATTTCCAAAAGCACTTTAACTTCTCCTGACATAGCAACCACAAAATTAATGCTAATGAGAAAAGTCTTGTTCCCTGGTGTATGTAAGGGATGGAGGTAAGGCCTTCTCCAGGCAGTACAACAGCATCTTCTTCATTTATCATGTGGCAAACTTGAATGTTCCCTATGTGCATCAAAAACACCTATACCACCTTATCCCATTACTGTTTGTTTAGTGCATGACTTCGAACGCTCAAATGGGAGGTGAAAGACAGCTCCCCGAGCACCCCACACTTGCGCTGCGGCCCCGGCTCCCCCTCCTCGCAGCACCACCATGCCCAAACCACCCCTCGCTACCCCATGCCAGACGCAGACCCCAAAGCACGCTCACAAGAAATACAAAATAAACCGGTTTTTATTTTCCACAGAGCCGTGCTGCAGCACCCTGAGGCCAGCGGCGCCCACCCGCGCCTCGCCTCAGCGGGAGATGGCCGCAGCCGTGAGGCTCCTCGACCCCACACACGACGGGGGAAGGGTCACGAGCCCCCTCGGCTCCCCTCACGGGCAGCCCCCACCTCACGGCACCGCCCCTCGCCGAGGACTGGAGCGCGCAGCCCCCAGGCGTCCCCTCACAGCCGAGGGGGCAGAAGGGGTAGAGGAGCCGCTGCCCTCCCGCCCGCCCCTCGGGGAGTGGTCGGCGGCCCACGAAGCGCCCGCCCTTCACGGCGCAGCGGCTGCAGGGAGGCTCCGCCGCTGCAGCCCCCGGCCCGCCCGCCCCTCACAGGGGTCGCGGGCGGCCGCCCCCCCTGAGAGTACCGGGCTCCTTACCCCCCCATATGCCCAGCTTGAGCTGGGACTTGTCCAGGTTTTCCACATAGTCGCCCAGGAAGCGGTTCAGCAGGTCGGCCACCACCGACTCCAGCACCATGGCGGGGGGGGGCGGAGAGGAGAGGAGGGAGCGGAGCGGAGCGGAGCTGAGGGAGCGGGCGGGCGGCGGGGCTCAGCGCGGAGCGGCGCCGGGCGCGCTCCCGACATGCAGGTGACGTGGCGGGGCGGGGCGTAGGCTGCCGGGGCCGCGCAGGGGCGCGCGCCTCGTCCTGGCGGTGCCGCGCGGCGGTGCCGTGGAGCCCTGTCAGGGCGCGCTGCGCGCCTCCCGCCAACCCCCAGTCAGCTCCAAAGTGCCTGCGAGGCTACTGGGGTCTCCACGGGCGCTCTAGGTCCCCATGAGGGCCTTGCAGTGGCCCCCAGTGCCCTCTGGGATGTCCTTGAGGCCTCGCAGCACAGCCCTGAGGCCACCCGTGGCCCTGCGGTGTTATCTGGTGCCCCCTCTGTCGCTTCAGGTGCCTCCCCGTTTGCTCCAGAGGCCTCCCGAGGCCCTCAGTGCTCTCGAAAGAGCACTAGTGGCCTCCCAGTGAGCTGTAAGAGCTCCGGGCACTTGCCAGGATCGTCTAGCATCCTTTACAGCCTTTCCAGGACGTGGTGGAGGCCTCCAGAGGTCCTCAGTGCCTACCTGTACCCCTTCAGGCTGCCTGGGAGCCCCACTGGACTGTAGAGAGCGGTGGAGGCCTCCCAGTGCATGCTGTAATCTTCCAGGGTGTCTCAGTGTTGCCTGGCTCACCCTGAGCGCTTCCTAGGGCCCCTGGGTGTGCTCAGACAACCCCTGGAGCCCTCACAGGGCTCTCCAGGGTGCCCCAGAGGCCTCCCAGAGCTGCCCAGAGTTTCCCTGAGAAAAGCTGTGCAGTGCCTGAGGTGCAGCCTGGTACAGCGTGTAAGTGCAAGCACTGAGCACTGATGCAGTGGTGCCATCTTTCCTGTCCACCTCTTTCTTTAGGAGATATGCTAGCCACCATTTTGGCTGTGGTCTGACTGAACCTGGTTTGTTTTTACAGCGCATGGAAAAAAATCATTGCTGTTAATCTAGCTGTCCAAGTGACATGAATACTGGCAGACAGGGAACACAAACAAGAATATTGATCCTGAAAAATGCATCCTTCAGGGAGTTGATGCCACTACAGAGAAAGTAGATGAGAACATGCAGCCCTGTGTGGTGAATCCGCAGGTAACCATGATGGTAGAGCAGAACTTTAAATTTCAGGGGGACTACAGTACAATACCTAAAGTTATCTGTCAAATGCATTTTTTGGTTTGTGAAATATGCAGTAGAGCACAGACTGCAGCCCAGAGCATGCAAGCAACACAAGAAGATTCTTTATTTGACACCTTATTTAACATTCTAAGAGATACATGCCACATCTGCACATTGCTATAAATATATGTGCCCACATTCTCTGCAAAAATTTTTCAACATTAAAGATTCAGTGCATAAGGCAGACCCTTATGCCACTAAGACCAAAGTTCAGGCTGACAATGGCTGTTAAACACAATGATCCACATGATTTGACTGGGGAAGTCATATCACTGTGTGCTGGAGACACATGGAAATCCTGGGGAGGTTCATAATTGGAAAGTCTCACCTTCTTGTATTTTTCCATAAGCAGCCACTACTAATCACAATGACATATCAGTGCACACTGGATGTCTGTTCCCTCATGTGTACTGTGGCAGTTCTTATAAAAGCACTGACAGATGCTTTATTAATTGTCACTGTATTAGTCAAAAACATAGGTGCATATTCTAGCCCTTTTTGCAAGACTGGTCTACGCCTATATTTGGATAAATCGGTTTTATATTTAGTTGTTAATGCCATTTTTGTTCTTTCTGAGAACTCTAGCCATTCATACCATTATTTCTGTTTTCCAAAGTCAATGCCGAGTTTTTTTAACCTTAATAAGGTTAAACCTTAATAAGTAGCATGTTGATGCAACTTATCTTCCATAATGGCCTAAAACTTGTTTGTCACATGATTGATTTCTGCATTTCTGCATGTTTGATACAGAGGGGGGACTTTTAGCCAAAAATGATCAAATTCTCATTTTAAGCTCTGTTTAACTTAAGACACAAAGACAAATTGCTAATTATGAAAGGTATAGAAACTATATAAAAAATTTTTTTCTTTTTTCTTTTTTTTTTTTTTTTGTTCTTTTGTGCAGTATTGGCTGTTCAAATCTATCAAATCCACTTGTATCACAGGGAATCGTCAATGCAAGAAAACGAGATGCAAAATTGTGCACAGAGCTCCTGCTGTTAGGTAACAAACCTCCATTTGTTATCATTTTTATCAAGCTTTAAAACACCTTCACTTACTACTCTTTTTATATATAAACCATGACAGAATAACTAAGTTTTGAGCAAGAGCTAACGACAGCTTACGCTCTTATATCAAAGTATATAAGAACAATTGTGCAAATCAGTGGCACTAAATGTTCTCTATAACAATCGTGGAACATAAACACAATGATATATCCATTTTCTCTGCATTTCATAACGGTCATAATTATTTCTGCACAGCAAAAAAGCAAAGATCAGTTTATCACAACTATGAATTATTGGGGAAAAAAAAAGAAGAAAACAGCTTGTATGTGGTCAAATCACTTCCTAATTAACCAAAATGACTTTTGAAAATCATCTTGTTAAAGCACGCATTTGAGTAAATGAAATTACTATTGCTCTTTACAAACATGCTTCCCTAACAAACAGAAATATGTAGCCTCGTGGATCAAAAATTGCTCACAAAATAATGTGATTTCACCTGGAAAAAAAGCCCCAGAAAGCCAAGTCTGCATCAAATATTCTGTTTAAGTAAAATCTATATGTATTAAAAACATAAAGGGGAAACAGGATGGAATTATGAATGGATGAACTTTAAAGAAGGCAGTTTTAATATTTTATCACCATAGATACATATGCAGTTACTTCTAATTACTGAGATATTTCTGGTAAATAAAGATGCATAATTTTGCACCTTTATTACCAAACAATCCTTTGGTAGTCTTCGTGAGCCTCCCTTGCAGATAGGATGCCACTCAAGAATGACATTAATGCACCTCTTGTCTGTTGGTAGGTACCATTCCTTCTGTGTTCTCAATGAAAAAGGTAAACAGACCAAAATGAAAAAAAAAAAAAAAAGTTACATGACGTATGAGTTCTGTATCTAGAAGAACAGATACAGGACAAGCAGAAACTTTGATATTTGCTTACCATTCATTGAATACACAGATAATGTTCATTCACTTCAGGAAAAAACATGCATTTTGCCTATTTTTTCTAAATACCAACATTGAATAGACATGACAGACTTGATAAATGTGAATGGAATCACCAGTTTCACTCAGCTGAAATTCATGAAAACATGCTCCTTGTGTATTATGGTAGCATTTCATTAAATAGAAGGATCTGATGACTCCATCACTGCATAATGATTTCGTAAAAAGAAAACAGAAATACAGCACTGTAGCAAAACTTATTTACATGGCAAGATTTGCTCAAATCCCTGAGGTAAAACTGTAAAAAAAAAAATTAACCCCCCCTCCGAAAAAAAACACAGAAAATCTGTATTGAAAGTTTAAAGTTTAAAGCTTCAGTTTTGTGAATAGACCTTCACATTGTAACAACAAATATTTGCTTGGTGTTGCCTATTACACAATTCTGTACATATAAATAAATGATTGTCACAGCATAATGCTAATCTGAGGTGGTACGTGGACTGATTGCTCAATAACCAAGCTTTCTTCTCATATTTTACTGCATTAATATTACAAAATCTCCAGCTCCTACCATCTGACTGTTGGCAAGTGAACAGATGGCAAATTTTATCCACTGTACCTCACTAAACAGAGTATATGCCTGTTAGCAGTTGGGAAATCAGCCAAGTAATGTGGCATCAACTCTCTTCACCACAAACCACACAGAGATTAGAGGATTTTCTGATGAGTTAGATCAGGTTGCCAAAAGCCTTGTCTGTACAAGTTTTGAAAATGTCCAAAAATGGTTACACCACAGCATCCATGAGCAACTTGTTCCTTCTTCACTCTGATTCTGAGTTTTTTTGGTTTTTGTTGTTTTGTTTGTTTGTTTGTTTGTTTAATACCTTTTAGCTACTGAGAATCTCCCATGATATAATTTTTGACTGTAACAGTGTCAGAAGAAGTAACTATATATTTAAGACACATTTTTGGACTTAACAGATGCAAGAAATCAGTATTGATAATTTTACCATCCTCCTTTATCTAAAAAACCCCACAGTATTCCACTGAAATAATACAATATGATATTGTTGTGTTTATTTTATTATATTAAATTTTTATATTAACAATATTTTTGCACTAAAAACATCCAAATGGCCTTACAACCAGCTAGGTAATAATTTTCTAAGGTCAATATTGGGAATTTTGCAACACGTATCTCAAATATATTAGGAATGAGTAAACCCAACATAACACAATATATTAAGATGGTTGAAACATTAAGAAGATGCCAATATATAGTAATCTCCTTTCCCTTTTTTCCTTGTGACAGCTGGAAGCTTCCAGTTCTCAGTGGAGAACGTGGGAGAATTAGTATCTGCAAAAAAACTGTGATGCTGTTTCAGTGTGTCCTTTTCCTTTCTGTGACAGAACAATAAAACATAAAAGATTTTCCCAGGCGCAAAAATAGAAGAACTAATTGATAAGCAAATGGAAGAGTGTCAGTATAAGAAGCTAGTGTTAACTTCAGCTACTTTTGCCAAGGCACAGCTGTTTTGCACAGGGACAAAGCTTATTAAAAAAAATACCTTCAACTCTTTGGAGAAACCCCAGTTTTGTTTCTCAGAATAATTTTAAACTAGCTGTCTAAATTCTAACAAAACAGTTGTAATTTTTGCATATAAAAATGCTACCTCTGTTTCTGAATAAATAGATACGCACCCTTTCTCATTATACTCCAGGACAAGCCTCTCTTCATACTACGAACAAGTCTTCAGAGAAAATCTGGATTTAAAAAATGACAATCCTATTGACTGTTCTTTGTTCAAAGCTTAGACCCAAAGCTCTTCACAGCTTTCATGTGATTACAAAAGAACAAATACTGCATAGATTCCACATGCTAAGAAATAATGTTGTATCTGCAAATGAGGATACACATACAATCTTATTATGACAGGTGGTTTTCAAGGGAGTTCAAAGAATCATTTCCATGATCTGCTGTACCTTATCTGTGTCTAGGAAATTTTTAATTAGAACTTGCATTTTTTGTGTGAAATGTCTAAGCCAAGAGGATCGGTCTTTCTGATCAGTGTTGATCACATGTATGTCATACCAACTGAGATTTGAATTATAAATTACTGATATCTTTTATCCCAAGCCAGGGAATCTTCAAAAAAACAGCTAAGTTGCATCATAAAAGGAACTTAACTTAATTTTTTATGAGGACTTTATTTGATGGTATTTCTGGAAGTCATAGCTTTTTTCTTCAGTGATGTGCTGTGAAGATGAAAAAGCCACTGGCTATGTAAGAAAATTGCCTGAAATAAAAATGAACTTGTTTCAGTGAATATGTTGTCTTTGAGTGGGGAAAGAAGCAATAATAGTCCAGTCTGGACCAAACATACTTGCTTTCGAATAATAAGCATAATTTTATTCACTTGGTAAGAATTTGAACTTACTCATTGTGAAAGCCCATATGAATATCTATGAATACAAAAACAAACCTTTTCCCTTGAGAACAATTTCAGTTATTTGCACATTAACTTGCATGTTGGAACAGTTCTCCAGCAAAACTCACTAAATGATAGAATTGTTCAAGATAAATTTTATGAGTGACTTTTTTGGAAAAGTGTTGACTGGTTTTAAAGAAATGGGATGCTGGAAGGTAGCACAATCACTTACTTATTATCAACTGAAGTTTGCTTTGGAAAGTGCTAAGAGAAGAACAGTAGGGTGTTGCAGTTATAATACCCTTTGTTTATTAAGAGTTACTAATTTTCCAGATGTAGGTCAGTCTTTAAATTATAAAGTTAAGAAAATTACCAAATATCCCACTTACTATGAACTCAGAAAATCAAGAACAAGACTTTCTTTCTTCTCACAGAAGGCACCCTATCTCCAGACATTTCTGAACTAGACAGTTTTGGTTAAAAAAAAAAATAAAATCTAAACAACAGGAAATAAAAAATCTTCACCATCACCTACTTTTTACAGAATCTATTTATAAGATGCCCTAAAGTTTTCAGATTCTTAGTTGAGGCTGGAAACATTAATATAGGATGCCTTATTTGCTAATGCATTACACCAGTTCCAGAGTCAGCCAGGAGTAACAGTCATCAAGGTCACGATTCCACAAGACCCTGCGAGGCAATCCATCATCGCACGCCATGGGCATACTCATGAGCAAGTATGCTCCTAATTTTGGAGAGAGGTTTCTCTACCCATCTCAGCAGGAACGTCTTAGTGTTGTCTGTCAGATCTGTTGTAAGTGAAATCATTAAGTCTCACGTGAAAGTTTGTAAAATGCTTTTGAATGCCTGTGAACTCAGAAAGTGCTGAGTTTACCTGCTGAAACTCTTGCCTCTTTTTGACATCTGAGGACATGGCAACTAAAAACAAATGAACTTAGAATCAACATTTTTTTCTTTTTGATGAGGCCTTAAAATCAGTAAATTTGTAGGTGTAAAAATAGAATATGAAAGTTGTAACAACTCCAAGAATTTGAAGACAGACATTATTTCACTATCTTTTGTAAGACGGTTCTGCTGTGAAAGTCAGGAATGGTCAATAAGAGTCACAGAGTTGACATGTGCCAGGTAAAAGAAACCAGTTTTGCTTTGTTTTTTTGTTCCCCAACAGCCTGCGTAGTTCCTCATATTACTGCAGATGTTGTTAGCACAGCCGTCACTTTTCATCAGACTGTTTGATGACCTCATCCAGGGATCTGTAGCTGCAGTGTGACTAAGCCACGTGCCAGTGCAATGTGACTGAAGCAGGAATACTGTTTCCTTGCCCTGAGGTCAGGAAGGGAAACACTTCACTATACAAGAACTGTCAGACATTATAAACTGAATGACAAAAGATAAAGCACTGGAGAGTTGACATTATTTAAAAAGTGGGCATGGACTGGAGAATTGGGTGACCGCATACAGAAGTGATTGTGAGCAATGTGAATTCAGGCCAAAGTCCATAGAAAAACTTTACTTCAGTTTTTGGTAAAGACGGTGGAGAAAGTCAGAATATCTAAGGCAGACAGTACAGAGAAGTAGAATTGGCAGCTTTTCAG